CAACCCCAGGATGCAAAAAGGACATGATCTCTGGGTGTCCCAAAATCATTTGCATTGATCCACTAAATCTAATCACATGCAAGGACGAAACATGGCTATAGCAGGATATAATACACTAGGAAAGTGACGTTTTTGAAAAGAGAGCTTTCCAAAATGGCTGTGAGAGCAGTCCCATTGTGGCTATTCAGGCTTAAGGTATTTGAGAAGCTTTGGTTTTCTGCTAGTATTGTGATAAATATCAGTGCATTCACCTGAATGCTCTTGTACAAAACCAAGTCAGAGACCCCCTCAGCAACAAACTGGTCAGTCTTTCATTTGCATAAATATTCCAAATACTTTTCTCCTCTGTATTTGTCCTGCTCTATTGCACAATGCTTCTATTAATTATGCTCATATCGAAGTGTTGCAATGAATCTGTGCCAGAAATAAGTCCACAATGACGTCATTGACTTAATTTATTCTGTGTATTTCTTATAGCCATCTTTCTGGCCAAAAATCTGATTTGTTACCTTGTAGTTCTAAAATGAGGCATTATATTTATATGTAGTTTTAGATTAGTGTTAAGCTGACGCATTTTGAGCCTGCTGTAGGTGGAAACACAAAGACAATGAGAGTATTTTCCTGCTGGAAGATAGAACATGATTAAAGAAAAGCAGTTTAATATCATATTGCAATCTGATATAACAATGTCACACTGGTGACCTGCCACAGCATTGAGTCTCATACAATATTAGTTTCTTTCAGCGTAAGAAATGTTAAATAAATGGATATACTGACAGCCGGAGAAATCATTAAAAAATAGAGTTGTCCCAACCACTTGAGAATGGCAAGCGGGAAAAATAATTATGCTACTCCCGTTACACACACTGCACAGAAAAAGAAGAACACAAAATAAAAGATAAACATGCCATTTGAGGATTGTTTGGGAATTATTCCATTCCATAAGTATCAAAACAAAATTAATCTCACTGAAATTAAATTCACCGAGATTAAATGCGAGGACCCTTAAATACAGAGAGAGGAGAACCCAGAATTGCCCTTCTCTCTGCTCAGTCAACAAAAGTTTGCAGTCACCTCCTTTTTATGTGGATAGCTTTCCTGGCCCCCTGATTTCTTCATTCTTGGCTATAAATTGTAGCAGCTTCAGAATAGTAGGACGGTAAACGTCCAACCCATAATATTCTTATATGACCCCATATATTATCCATATATGTCAACTGGAGATTATTGTCTTCTTTTGTAAGCTGGGATAGATGTGTTTGAAACCTCTCGGACTAAAGACTCATTTTAGCTCAGGACCGTCACTTCTTGGGTAAAAGTACAGTCCACCAAGTTACTATATTTTAAGGTTAAGCTAAGCTCTTCAATTTCACACAATTTCTTCTCTGAGTTTGTGCCTTTTATTCGATTCTGCCCACCATCATAAGCAGTGGGGTCATCTGCATCTGGAGTCATAATCTTCATGGTCTCAGGGCTCTCTTAGCAGTGATTGTATTTTGGATGTGATTTTTGCTGAATTGCAATGGTGATTAATTAGCTGAAAAGCCTGAAGTGGAAAGGGCTTAAATGACATTCCCGTAGCGTATCTGTGATTTTTTCTGTGTGCATCTGCATATTTTAGACTCCCTGATTGTCGTTTTATCTACAAGTCAAATCAAGCTCCAGCTAATGCTTCTGGCTTTAAATACCTGCAACAGATAGTATCTACTTTTCCCTTTTACATTCAGCTACTTTGGGGGTTTTATTATTTCTTCTTGAATACGCTTGTTGTCTCATTATGCAGAGACTGGGACTATTAAAAAAGAACAATTCAGAAATGTTATTTTTATTTATACTAGATGGATAATCATAATATCGTATAAGAATCAGATTTAGGCTGACTTCAATTGCTCCTATTTCTGCATTACATAACTTGTCAGCCCTGGATTCTGGTTATGACATTGTAACTCCAAAATTATGTCAGAATTTATATATTCCCATTGTTCAACATTTCTAAGCATAACAGGTACAAACATAAGGAAATAATTTTCCTGAAAATTGAAGCTGTGCAGAATTATATTTTTCTCACATCCTTATATGTTTGCAATTTAATGTATTTTCAGTGTAATAAATTAGCCCTGTAAATAGTTAATTTGCACTAAAATATAGGCTACATTGCAAAAATCAATAATTTCAAAAAACATTTTTCTCCTCAGAAGGTTTTTTTAAATCAACAACTTTTCAACAAACATGCTGTTTCTGCAAGATGGAAAGAATGTAGTCAAGTCTGTTTTAAAGCTTTTGGAATATCTAGGCTTCTCTTGCATTAAAATTCTGGAACATCACTTTTTGGAGGGGATGGTTCCTTTTTTTTTTTTTTTTTTCTTCTCCCTATGCTTTACTTCTGTTCTTTTTGGTCTTACTTTTCAGAGAGGCCTCAACATACTGGGCAGTTGTGATGACAGGCTGACAGACATAGGGCAGGCTCAAAGCTGGCACGTGAGGACAGAGGCAGTTCTTGAATTGCATGAGGTCTTGCCCTGGTGTTTTTTGGGGAAAGCTCTCAGACGAGAAAACTAACAACGATTCAGGAACATGTTGCTGTGTCCCTCTGGGAACTGGGAACTGCTGATTGCTACAAATCTGTTTGAAGTTGGAAAATCTGCAGCTGGCAGAGACAGCACTGAGGCTTACAGTACTGTCCCTGAGGCTTTCTATACACAGATGAAATGATGCAGGATTCAAATGAGCGAGCACGTACAGGGGTCATTCATCCCCTCTTACTTACACTGAGTAGTGCTTTACTCTCTAATTTGATCCCCTAAAATCAGTTGCAAAAAACGCGCAGTGACGGGAATGAAGGCAAATGAATCTGACAGAAGAAAAGTGACAAAATGACATATTGCACATGAGGGAAACTTGTCACAATGTAAAGAAGAAAAACCACAAATAAATCAATGTAACTCAAGTTCATTTGCACAAATACATGAAAACCCATTTTTCACGCTGTGAATCCTTGCTTCCCATTCTCCAGCTCTCCAGACACACAAAGGTTAAGTAGGACAGAGTTTCTGATGGAGATGAACAGCTTTCAGCTGCTGGTGGGTGACTTACAGCTGATCTCGCCTGTAGCTCCCATGAGGAAATGATGTAAGGGAAGGCTGAAGAGAGCATAATGCGAGCAAATGTGACTGACCACGGGATGCTGATGTGAGCTGCTGCCATCATAAGTGCTCTAGATAGTGCACATTTCTGAAGCTGTCATTACTAGCGACTGCAAGACATTGCTGAGAAAAAGCACTTTGTTTAAATGATTGCACTTGCTCTGAGTGCAAAACGCTCTGAGTTTAAACAAATCAAAAGCGAAGAACACTGCTTATGCTAGACGTGGACATTTCAAACCTTCAGAGACGAAAAAGCACTAATGCTTAATGACTGTGTGCACATCCAGTAATTACTAAAGAATAGAGTCTGATATCAGTGGTATGTGAAAGTTAGGTTATGTAAGCAAGCCTTGCATTAAATGAAGTGAGTTTTTGTTGGGGAAAAGGAAATGCGTTCATGGCTTCTTTTTCATTTGAAAAGTTTTACTGCTGGCAATGAAAATATGCTACTTCTCCTTTAAATAAAATGCAAAACATGCTGTATCACTAGAAATACTTAAAAAAACATAATTCTCTGTGACTAAATCAGGGAGTCTGGGTTCTGGATTGTCTTTCCTGCTCTGTAGTAACATTGTCTTCTATGTTTCCTTGAACAAATCTTTAAATCTATAATAGTCTAGATGCCATTAAACACTTTCAAGGCTGCCAATTACCACAGGTACTCAATGCCAACACATTTGAAGTCAGTGAGGCCTGTAGATATTCATAACCCTGTAAAAGCAATGGATATCTGAAAATAGAAGCAATTATAATTAGAAGACACATTTGAAAATGGAGTCCCCACACATGCAGTTCAACTTTGAGGAGAATTAGAAAGGGGAAAGGGCAGAATTAGAAGAGCTAATCCAAAACGTCTACAATATTATAATCATTCTTCCATTATTCCAACTATTTGGCACTCTCACATGCTCTTTTGAGCACTAATTAATCCCCTTCGCATCCCTTTGATATGAATGGCATCTCCATCTTCTGGGTGGAAAACTAAGATTTTAAAAGGTGAGATACAACACCAGAAATAATCCGTGGCACAGCCAGAGATCACTCAGAAGTAGGAGATTTTGGCCTCATCCTATCCTGTCTGACTTCTCCTGCTTTCCTCCTAGGCTTGGAACAATAGATTAGCATCTGAAGGGGATTCCTTGCTGCTTCTTTATTTGTGCTTCTGTGTTTTTTCTGTCCTCCTACCATTCAGCAATGTACAGGCATGAATTCATTGCTCTGCTATTGCCAAGAGAGAAGCTTCTCTCATCACTTTGAGGTGTGAAATTTCAAAAAGTGCTGTTTATTTGAATGTGTGGCAGGGTGCCTGGCAGGTGGGTGGGTGGGCTAAAAGCAGAAGCTGTGCAACACACCAGAAAAGATGTCTTTGGAGCCAAAAACTCTGCCTGGGACTCTTTATCAGTGTCATACTGACCCTCTCAGTTTAAGAGAAAATCAAACAAGACCCATAAATCTCGTGAAATTGAATATCATAGTGGTCCTTCCCGACACATGCAGATGCACAAAGAAATTCAGAACTTTTTCACTACTTTTTGTTGCAAGAAAGATAAATCTTGTAGCAGGATACTGTTTTGTTCTTTCTTTGAATTCTTCTGGCATTTAGATAATCTATTCATTCCCTGAGAACACTGGAATGCTTTTTTAAGACGTCCATAATAGATATTAGAGTAGAGAGTTTATTACTTTCCCTTCCTTTTCACTTTGCAAGAAGCTGTAGCAGAAAAACTTCAGTATGTTGTAAAATTTCAGCATTTTGAACCTTTTAAAAATATAGTATCAAAAAAATGCAGTAAGCAGGTCTCCTGAGTAAGTTAAAAATTAGAAGTGGCAGAAGAGAGAGAGGGGGAAATGACTCACCCCAAGGTCACACAACACCTCGGAAACAACGGCAGTGAAAGAACGTGAAAATCCCAGCTCAGTGCCCTGGAGAGAGGACTCCTCTGCTTCCCAGGCAGCATCGCTTCATGTTCCCCTGTGCAGCAGAAAGCAGCTGGGGAATAAAAGTGTCTCTCCCCAGCCCTCCGTTTCCTTGGTGATGGACAGCAATACTACACCGGCTCAGTACTCAAGTCTGCGCAGGGAATGGGCAATGCATCCAGCTCTGTAGCAGCAAGTGCAATGGGAAGTTCTTCACCCTCCTTCCTGCAAATGGAGCCAGGTATATAGTGGCTCTCATGTGAACAAAACCCTGAGGTAATGGAGCCAGGTATATAGTGGCTCTCAGTTTGGCTGGATTCATGTGAACAAAACCCTGAGGCGTACAAAAGGCACTTCTTACCTCTTTCAAATGACGTGGCAGGACGTGGTGAAAGGAAGTGAGGTTACTTCAGAGCAAGATATAGAAAATCCAAAGTTAAAGCTAAATCTTCCCTCAAAGCCTGAACGTTCAAGTTGCTAGGAGTAAAGCACATTGAATATGCAGAAGACTGAAAAAGCAAGACTTTTGCCAAGTTACGCAACTCCATTGGATGTTCTAGCTCAAACTACTGACCTGTATCAAATTTGCCAACAACTTAGTTTTACAGAAGTGCAGTGGCTGGTGCTACTACTAGCCTGGGACATGTTATCATGTTCTTTACATGAATTTTCCAGATGAAAGCTTTAATTAGAGAAATCAGAAAAGAATATTGTTTTATATGTTATATTTACCTACACATTATAGCTGAAAAGATGTATTTTTCTATCCCTCTATACAGTCCTGTGGCTTTTGGCTTTTTGTGCAAGTATCTGTACTTGTTATAGGGTGTTTTGTGGAGGAGTTTGTGTCTTGTGGTGTGAGGGTAGTAACAGAAGGGATATGAAACTTTGCGGGGCTTAAACATCTATTGCCAGACTGCCCATGCCAGGGGGACTGGACTCCAAGCACATTGTCTCTTCTGGGACTATCTTTGGAAGAGTACTTTAACTACAGTGTGCAACGGCCCCACGCTCAGAAAATATCATGCAGCTTTATGAAGCATACACTGACAGATTTGTATTGTGTATTTCTATCACATCGCATTAAGCTATCTCAGATTTATGGCTCAACCTGAGAGTTCAGCTATGCACAGTGACCTCTCAGTTTACCTGACCTGTTACTTCACTTGACTTGTCTTTTTTATAGGTAGTTACGTTCTAGCTCCTTTGTTCTTTTTTTTCACCCCCTCCCTGTTCTGGTCATCTTTATTGGCAAGAATATATGTTTGTTTTAGAATGCCGTCACTATTTTGGCAGGCTTCTCCACACCTAACTGTTCTCTGGTTTGAAATAACCAGGCTACAATATGCTGAATGCATGCAGGTTCTCTATCCTCCCACTACCACTATAATGTGACTTCCTTCAGTGTACCTAAGGTGTAACAAGAACACTGTTCTAACATCTCCGAATTGAAGTCAAACTCATTACTCATACCTGCAGACATTCATAACAATTCCAAAGAATCACTGCTGCAGATAAAAGGGCAAATGAATTTATGACAGACAATTAAAGCACAATTAATAATGAAATGGGATTTGAATTCTTAACATGAATAGTTTGGGTTTTTGTTTTTTTTTTTCCTACAAAGAATGCTGGCATTTGACAGTGGAGCCTGTGGCTAAATATTAGATAACAATAGCACATTAAAGGCATCAGTGGTGTCACTCTCCCAAAGAAAGTATTACAATGGAGTCTAGTTTATTTTGCGTAGCATCTAAATAAAGTACACAGATTTTAAGACATTTCTTTAGATATGAGAAGTAACATTATTTCTTATTTCTTTGTGCGTTGTAAGAACATTTTAAGTAACAGTCTTTGCAGTTCTGTCACAGGCCCTTTCTCTGTCAGCGATTTCACTGAGATGCCTTTTTTGAACTTCTTTTGGATTAAATTTTTGCATAGACTTGCAAATGGGTCGTAAGTAGGAGAAAGAGAGAGAGAGAAGTAGAACCCACGATACAGGAGGTCTACAGCCAAGACAAAGCATTGTATGGGGGTTTTTGGCTATTGTAGGAGCACCGGAGAATACATTGCAGGTTATAGCCCGTAGGAGCCTGGACTTGTGATGCCCAGAGGAGAGAGACGTGCAACTGTGGATATAGCTGACTATCTAGAGAGTAAGGAGTACTGAAGGCATGAATAAGAAGAGATCTGGGCAGCTTCCTCTTCTTGAACTTTTCTTAGGGTAGGGAAACAACTTCACATACTGATATATTTTTAGTTATTTCCTCTTCCCCAGAGTTTCATGTAAGACATTTTGGAGGTTCCCGTTAGGTTGTTACTACTCTTAGTTTCTCTGCTCCCTATTTATTTTTGTATGGCTTCTCCTTTAAAATTTTAAAATAATTATTTCTCTGCATGTAACCGTTATGAAAGCATAGTCTCCCACCTCAACCCATGTGGTTAGGAAGCCCTTATTTAAAATGCTTTCTCTCCCCTTACCCCCTTCCTGTACAAAAACAACCCAAACAAACAAAGGAGGCTTTCTTGGAAAGTTGGCAATGATTTTCAGAGCTCCCACTGTCTTTTCTTCTTTAAGATCTTCAAGTTGTTTGTTTAAATGTTTGTGTCTTTAGGCCTTTCTTCCTGATTTTATTGCTGGAAACCATGAGAGCTGCTATTTGTTCCAGAAAGCAGATTTATTTTTTCTTCTCTACCCTAACTACAACATTTTTCCAGTTTAAAAAAAAAAAAAAAACAACAACCCTCACTCTTTCAATATGCACTTTAACTCCTGTGACTGAGAACCCCAAGCTGTGAAACAGCACATCTTGGTGGATTTTTGCAATTTAGAAGCAAGAGTGGAAGGAGCGCTATAAAATTATGGTGATGCATACCACCATCAGCTACAACCCTTTAAGTTTCAGAACATGGCCTGATTATGAGAGTTAACCTGCCATAACAAAACATTAGGCGCAGTAAAAGTGCATTTTACATGACTTGTTTGTGATAGCATTTCTCCTCTCCTGGTGGGGAATCTGCAACAACAGTTGGTGGATACCTGCAGTTTTAATTGGGAGGGGGACGGAGAGGGACAGTAGGTCGCAAGCGCTGAGGCACATCTCATGAAGGCACAAGGTTTGTCGTTGTTAGCACGTCTCATAGGGCAGTGAGCAGGGCACAGCAAGGAGGGCAGCAGAGAAAGCTGTTGCTAGAGAGAAGAGCATGAACAGACCACACAGCGAGAACAGAAAGAGCCCAGTGGTGCCAGGTGAGCTTTCTCATCATTGAGAAGACTCTGCTAGACATGACCTTTTTTGTCCATTAGGTTTTCCCCTGCCCCATACCACTTCTCTGCTGCCTGTCAGGCCATTCCCCCCAGTGCTGCCTGCATCTGAAGGAGGATGTGCTGCTGTCCTGCGCCAGCAGAAGCCTCAAGTATTGTGTCAGCAATACACAGGATCAGCAGAGAGCAGAGCACGTGCACACAGGGAGAGAGAAAGCGGGCACCTTTACACACACACACACACACACACATGCACAATACTGGAAATCATTTGTCCAAATGAAAACTTTCTGAGGAAGTGCATTGATCCGAGTGAAAATTTTTTCACCCCAAAATGCAGTTTCTCTTGCTATTCATTTTTAAAGGAAGATAACTGCCCAAGCTAATAATAGGACAATCCAGGAGACTCTGAGATGGTGAAGGCCCAGGATCACATCTTTCTATCTAATTTGACCAGACCAAGTATCTGAACACAGTCATTCTGCACTTCAGAGTAGGGCTCTAGACACCAGACTGTTAGCCCTCTTAGGAGGGCAAGGAGTTGTTTGTGTGTATAACCATATTCACTAAATCTTAGTTCTGTTCTGAATCAAACTGGAAAATATATTTTGAAACCTAAATCTTCCACTAAATAGAGTTCTGGACTTCTTGCCATTTGACTTCAGAGATCAGCATCTAAAATTGTGCAACAGTCTTCTGATTACCTATGGAGCCTTGGTTCATCTAGATACACAAAAAAGTAGCTCAGGTCATTCAGCTGTAACTAGAAAGATGATTTCTCACAAGGACTGAAATGCATGTGAGAATTTATTTATTTTCTACACTGAATGAAGTTCTTCATGCTAACCATTCCTGCCTAAAACACAATAGCACAGCTAGTGGCAGTGGAACATTCTCCATGCTGTTCTTTTGAGGTACGTAACCATCACCACAAAGAAAAACACAAAAAAGAATTAGAGATGAAAAAAACCTGTGATGAAAATGGGTTCTGCATTGAGTGCACTTCAAGATTTCCTCAAATTCAACTTTTAAGTGTTAAAAGTGTTTGTGATGAAAGAAATTCTGCTTTTAATGACAACTGAGTCGTGCACAACCACTTTGACAAAAATAGATACGATGTCAATAATCTGAAATGTTTAAGGGTCTGTAAGAGTATGCAGTGTCACATGAACTAGCAATAACATCACTACTGACTGTAATGTCAAGTTGTTGGAAGTTATAGTGGCTTCTTATGTGCCTCATGATTTTTTATTTCCCTGTGAAGAATTATTTTAATATAAAAATTCACCTTAAAGTAACAAGACAGATTTTCCAGCTGCTGGTTCTGGGCCACCCTTGGCATTGTTATTATTCTGCAAGATATCAGCAATGCAATGGGTGTCTTCCACATAACAGGGAATGAATAAGAAATAGAAACACTGATACAGAGTATAGGGATTGTCAAATTAAGCACTTTTGCAGCGGTGACCCAGGGAGCCATCCTTGTTTGCTAACATTTTATGCACATGTTGCACAACTGTAAATGAATATGTATTTCAAGAAAATGAGGAATTTGGGCAGGCGTACTTACAAGCACATGCACACAGACCTCCTGGTATTTGTGGATTTTCCTTCTGTAGTTCTACATCCCCTCCAATTTTCCTGTGAGAGAATTTCTGTGTTGCAAAGAGTCACGCGTACAGACTGATGATGTCCTCCCATAACAGCTTTATTTCCTGCACTCTCCTGCCTCCCACCCTGATTGCCTCCTAAATTCTGCTACCTCGCGTCGCTGGCTGCTATGGAAGTGCTGTGCGTCCCCTGGATATGAGCTGATACTGCTGCTAAAACTTTACATTGAGCAGAAACGGCAGGGTTTGAGCTGCAGGCGTGCCTCTCACAGGAGAAGGGCACGAGCTGCCCCGGACCAGTCACAGCCGGTTCCAGCCGGCTCTG